ATGGTTTATCGTAACATAACTTTATTACATATGGTTGAATTCGTAAAAAAATAACTTCTTATTTGGTGATAAAAAATTTTGAAAAAAATGTATTGGTAACGGGGGTATATTTAAAAATAAAAAAAATAAAAAAAATATTTTGTCATTATTTCAAAGTACTTTTGAAGCCATTTAATTTCCATTTTGGAAAAGTTTTCTATTTCTTATAGTTTCGGAGATATTCGGCCCGAAAGAGAAAAACCGATTTTTTCGAAGGAGTGTTTCACCCCCTAAAGATTGTAAAATATGTAGCGCCTGGTTGCGTTCCCGCGATTGATCTACGGCGTTTTCTCGCGATCGAGCGGGTCGAGAAACAAATCACACTATCTCTCTGAATTGTCTGTTTTAATACTAATTACACACACACACGAGTCCCGAACAGAACCAAATACAATGCGAATAACTTAGAATAATAGCAGCCGGTCCGAACACGTGCGAACCGGTGCGGTAGCGAGACGAATCTGATCTGCAGAGAGCCGGGCCCGGCGGGATAACGAACCTACCCGAGGCGCGCCGGACGGACCCGAACGGCAGCTCGACGCGGAGCTCGCGTCAACGAGCGCGGTAGTCGCGAGGAGAATCGGTCAGAGCGAAATCCGCTGAACCGATTATACCGAAAATAAATTTAAAGAACTACCGAACAAAGATGAATTAGAGCCCCTATAAAAAAATACGTGTCTGTTGGATTTATGTGTTTAACAACATACTTAAAGGAAATTCAAATCGGAGCCGGACAGTTGTGGTAGTTTCCTTTAAGTACAATGGGAATAAAGGCCAACAATCGAGCATAACAAAGGATGTCAAATCAATAGTTTATTTAATAATATTAGTTTTTGAGACACAAAGGAGATAACATCGACCGTGAGAGCGCGAGACATCGGACCACGACTTAATTCTGTAATTAACGTATTATAAACTTGACCACACCGCTGATTGACCTAAGATTTAACGCTTTTAACAACTGACTTGGTTCGTTTTCGCCATCTAACAAAGAATAAATCATGGATTTACCTTTGACTGCAGACTTGCGAATTAACTCTACAGATACTCATATATATACAATTTTACATTTCACAATAGACTCTAAAGATATTTATATGTACACAATGTTACATTTTAGTCGAATGCTCTCATGTAGTAAGATGTGACTCCGGATGGCTTTGTCATTTACCATCGAGAAAAATTCTTGCTCGTCTTTGACTGTTTTACCTCCTTATTTATTATTTTTTTGATTATTTGATACTTTGCTTATTGCGCGACTCCATGTAATTATTCGTATTTATCGGCTGAAGAAGACACTGTGTGTTCGAAACGTTCCGTCATATGTATATATTATTAAATGAACTATTGATTTGACATCCTTTATTGTTTTGCTCGATTGTTGGCCTTTATTCCCATTGTATTTTGACATATAGATTACTTTATTTATTCATTAGTACTAAGATTTTTGATTGAATAAAAAAACAATAAACATAATTTAGGGAAGAATGCGACAGGAGTAAAAAAAAGCACCAAGTTTAAAAAAAAAATTTATTTATTTTATTTTATTTAAATATTTTTATTTTCTACTGTTATTATACCTCTTTAATACTTTGTGATTAAAATTATTCTTTAATTGCAATATTAAAAATTTGTTAAGGAGAATTAAGAAGCTATTACCACTTGGGTTGGAATAGTAAGAAGACCCTTATTGAATAGAAACACAAAGATATCACTTGGGTTTTATTGCTTCCTTATAGAAAAAGCTTTGTAATGATGAAAAAATTTTTTTTCAAGATTTTGATGGAAATAGGTTTAGAATGTTTCAAAATGTCGAGAAATCATATTAGTAGGAAATGTCGGGAAGTATGTGTGTGTGTGCGTGCGTGCGTTTGTGTGTGCGCGCGCGCGCGCGCGTGTGTGTGTGTGTGTGTGTGTGTGTGTGTGTGTGTGTGTTGTGTGTACGGATTTTTTGTACACGCATCTACTTCTACAATTTCTTTGATACCGAGTTAAAATTTTGCACACAAATAGAGTATCTTAGAAAGTATGTTCTCCTCTAATTTTATTAAAATCTGTCGACTGGTATGGGTTTTAAGGGGATTTTCATTTTTTAGAAAAGTGTGTTTTACGCTGTAGCTCTCTCAATATTTGAGATATCGATCTATTTCTAATTTTATTATATTGTTCAGTCTTTTCTACCCCTATTTCATATATAATTTTTTAAGATTTGGATAATCAGTTCTTGAGTTACAGACGTTTGAAATTTCGAAGAATCCATATATACATAGAAGCCTTATAAAGTTTGGTCTAATCAACCAAATTTTAAAGAATTATATATGAAATAGGGGTAGAAAAGACTGAAGAATATAATAGAATTAATGTTTGAGATTGTGATAATCCGTATCACGAAAATCGCTTTCGGTTGCATGTCAGCGCAAGCACGCTTTCTATAAAATATTCGTCTAAATATTTCGCTTCAAAAGCGTATCCTGTGCCAAGTTATAGCATGGATCTTTCGGTATTCGCATTCTAAAAAATTCTCTAACATTTGTTATCAATAACAAAATCGCGGCCACCAAGCAAAAGATTCATGCTGTAAACATTGTGCTCGCAAACAGGCAACGATCTTTTCGGATCGCCGACCGACAATTGTGACGTAGGTGCGATGACGTGAGCTGCCGATAACCCAATCACTCTCTCGATATCTGAGCTCCGCGCGTGCCAAGCGCGTATGTTTCCGCGCGCGGCCTGTGGCGATCAATCACGCACTTGAGTCCTTAAACAACCTTCGTTATTTAAAACTATTGGTTATTAGCCCGGAGAGAGTCTCGACTCGGAATTAATAAAAGGTTTGCCGCTGTACCGAGGGCTCTCTTTTTGTCGAAGTTCACTCGCATAGAAGCACCGCTCGTACAAACCGCTTAATTCGACTTGCAATTCGCTTTCGATTTCGCACCTGCTAGTCGCCTTGCTTGCTGTGATAAATTCAGTGCGCGCTATCACTCACGGCTCTAAACAATCCTGTAAATAGTTGTATATACTAAATAGACTCTGTTTTATTATATTGTATTTCTTGCTGTTTTTTTGGGGGTCGTCTTCTATCTCGCGCTACCGCGTGCTCTCGAACAATTAAAAATATACCGATATCTCAAATATTGAGAAAATCCAGACAATTAAGCCAATTAAGGAAATTTATTATTTCCTAATTTTATTAATAAAAGCAATTTTTATATATTTAACAAATTATTTTAAAGTAGAAATAAAATACTATTATAATAGTATAACAAATATTAGTCGCAATACAGATTATCACAATAAAAAAGTGTGCAAGTAGAAACTTGCACATTGCTTCCTTATAATTTTTAAGTGTACAAATTATAAATTTGAACATTACTTTCTCATTACATTCAATTTTCAAGTATGCAAATTATAAATTTGCACGTTGCTTAATCAACATTTTATTTTGCTCATAAAGTTTCCTCTATGAGGAAACCAAATTAATAAATATCTACTAATAATTATACGTAAAAAAAAGCAGTAAGACTTCCGAATAGCCCCTACCTCCGAATTTGATGAAACTTGCAGGAATTGTTGACTATTAGAGGACACGTTCATACCATAAAGGATTTTGTACGAAAACAAATAGGAACGAAAAAATTGGCATCAAAAATTCAAAATTTGGTAAATGTCTACAACTAGAACCCTAACGAGAAATTAATTAAAAAAAGGTAAATTCTATGTATTTGTGCTCCTCGAATCCAAAATTGATAAAATTTGGGGGTCGCTTGTATTTCTTAAGATATCGTTAAGAAATTGAAAACTGTGAAATATATCAAAGTACATGTATGGGCCGGAAGGGGGCTCTGCCCACCCCCGCACCCTCCCGCCCCGTGCACCTGGCGGTGTGGGTTAGGCACCCCCCCATGCGTGCCCAAAAAAACTTTAAACAGTTAAATATTTTTAAAGCGCGTCATCTAACCTATGTAGTGTTTTTTTCTCATTTTCTTAACGATATCTTAAAAAATACAAGCGACCCCCAAATTTTATCAACAGTTTTGGATTCGAGGAGCAAAAATACATAGAATTTACCTCTTTTCAATTGATTTCTCTGATTGGGGCCCTAATTGTAGACATTTACCAAATTTTGAATTTTTGACGCTAATTTCTCCGTTCCTATTTGTTTCCGTACAAAATCCTTTATGGTATGAACATGTCCTCTAATAGTCAACAACTCCTGCAAGTTTCATCAAATTCGGAGGTAGGGGCTATTCGGAAGTTGAGCCAAAAAGGCTTCCGTATAGAGGAAGCTTTATGAGCAAAATAAAATGTTGATTAAACAACGTGCAAATTTATAATTTGCATACTTGAAAATTGTGAGAAAGTAATGTTCAAATTTATAATTTGTACACTTAAAAATTATAAGGAAGCAATGTGCAAGTTTCTACTTGCACACTTAAAAACTATGAGGAAGCAATGTGCAAGTTTTTTTTTTTAAATAGTTGCATAACCAATTATTTTTCAAAGTAATATACATATTCTCTTTGCAATTGGCGCAATTTAATTTAAAGATTTCACTTTTTTTTTTAAATACATGTCACTTGAGTTGAGTTAGGTAACATAATTTTGTGAAGAAAAAATAGAGCTACCACTTAGGTTGGATTTTTGAATTTATTAAAAAGACATGGTAGTGTCTCGCGCCAATACACGCGAGTGGGAGGAGAGAGGACAGAGGGAGAGGGAGAGAAAAAGGGAGGGAGAGAGAGCGTTTGTATGTGTGCGTGCGCGCGCATGTTCTATAAAAATATTAAAGAATTAATAGCTGCAAATATGTTTTTGCTACTTCCAGTGTTTAGAATATTTTTGAAGCTTAATCCACGTCAATATTATTAAAATTTCTTTACAAAGTATGTTAAGAATAAGATGGTTAAGGAGAAGATTCGACTATATTTTCAAGAACACAATGATCTAGCGAACAGTACCGTAAAGCTTCCAGGAGACAATAGGCGCGACGCTTATGCCGCACTGAAACACCTTTTGTTCCGGATGAGCCAAAACAAGAGCAGCGACGAAACCGCCGTAGCTCCATCCCCATACGGCGACTCTTCGTTTATCCACGAAATGTAGTGAGTCCCGTAAGTATCTGGACAATTATAATCAATGGATTTTTTTTAAGCATCTTATAATAAGCATTTTATAATCGAATCTATTGACATTCAAAACTATTGAACTCCTTTATAATTACTTTGAAAAACTAAAAGTACTTTTAAACAGATTTGAATCTGAACGAAATGGATTCAAACCCTTCGTGCGTACTTCGGAAAACAAATATACTTCCAAGTAGATTTGAATCAAATATGTTCAAATCTTTTACGAGAATTTTATTACAAATTTCACGTTTTTTCTAATCAAATTGTTTGTATAAAACGACAATTAGGTTAATACACATATTATTTTTTGTTAATTACAAATATTAGATTATCAATAGTTAAAATTAAATATAATAATAAAAATATGATTAAAAATTTAAAATAAATTTCTAGAGCTCGAGTAGGGGAACTGTGTAATATCGCACCCCATTTTTAAAAACCAAAATCTTGACTAAAAACTCCTATAAGAATATAACTAAACAGCGTCATTTTATTATATAATTATCATAATATGATCTCCATAACATAAATATGTTCAACATTTACTTTATCTATCTTTTTTGAAGAAAAACAAAAAAGTAGCATTTTTCGACATAAAAAAAAGTGTAAAAATAGGGCACATAAGGTTTAATTTGATAAAGATATCCTCTTTTAACTTTCAAAAGAAAGAAGATTAAGAAAACCCATGAGGTTTCATGGACTATAGGATGGGGTGATATGGTCTTGCTTGGCCGATTTACTCTCAGAAAAAGATCTTGTTACTCATTAGACAGGAGGCTGAGGCAGCTTCAGAGATATTCTAGAGGCAGATCAGTTAGGAAAAACGGGTGGTATAATGAATATTCTTAGAGGGTGGAATTAGGAATACCTCAAAGAAGATACATAACTGATTAAAGCATAATGGTTAGCAACAAACATTTGTAATTTAGAAATAAAATTAGACACAATGGGCACGGGTACACCGGGACATTTAGGCCGCGGCCTATACCTCAAATTCAACCTAAAGTCTGACCTGAAGCTAGTTTCAGCCGCCTATCAAATGTTTACAGCAGACGGCCTAAATAATTTAGGTCGAATTTGAGGTATAGGCCGCGGCCTAAATTCAGGGTGTAAACTTAGCCAATATCACATGTTTTCATGATAGAAATTCGTTCTTAGTACATATTTTTTTGCTGTATTAATAACGGAAGATACCTCTTGCGAAATTACGAAACCTCGTTAAAACTATGAACTGCCATGATACTTTTTATATCACAATACTAATTGAATTAAAACAAAAGATCGTCCAAAGCGGCGTTGTTCAACAGCTTCCACTACTCACTGACAGAATGCAACATGTAACAGTCTCAATGGTTACGTTTACACCCTGAAATTAGGCCGCGGCCTGTACCTCAAATTCGACCTAAATTATTTAGCCCGCCTGCTGTAAACAGTTGATAGGCGACCGGACCTGGCTTCAGGTCAGGCCGCGTATTTTAGTGACCCGACCTGAAATAGGCCGTTATCATTTGCGATGTAAACGCGCGATCAAGCGCGACGCGTCCTAAAAGCTATATTTGCTTGTTCGGATTCGCTGCAATTCAGGACGATCCCAAATACAATCCCGTCAATTTTTAGGTTTTTTTTGGTGTAAACAAATGATGACTAGACCTACTTTGGGTCACAATATAGGTCAGGCCGCGATCAGGTCGCTGGGTGTAAACATAGCCAATATCGTAGGGTGCGGAATTAGAAACAAGGGCGATATTAGATAAAGTTTCTATAATAAGAGTTAAGCCAATGTAGTGACGATTTTTTATTAGTCCGCCATATGTTTTAGCCAAGTTAGTGAAAGTAAGACAAAGCTATAAGTGGGAATGAGACAAAGTTATAACTGGTCCACCAGTCCGCCATTTATAGCCAAGAAGAAGTTAGTGGAAGTAAGACAAAGCTATAACGGTGTCCTAACTCTTATTATAAAAACTCTAATATTAGGCACAGTTCCCCTATTAAAAAGATTCGTTTTTTTTATTATAGAAACTACTTATGAGTACATTTTGAATCTTGCAGATACTCATTTAAGGAGTTTGAAATGAACTATCGGGACCGATTACTTTGCAAGTACAATGTATGAAATATTATTTCTTATGAATATTATTTGAATTCTAAAAAATAAAACTTTATTATTTTATTTGACTCGGATTTTCAAGTGCATATTGAACTTGATCTCTAATTATAATTTTATTAAGAATAAAGACATATTTTATATATTCTACCGAAATTTTGTATGTTTATGCCTTATATATAATATCGCGAAAGCTAAAAAATTAATTATTATTAACATCTTTACAAATATATCTTAATAAATATAAAAATAAAATACCTTTCTTTAGACAAATATATTTTAAAAAACAAACAGATATATCTTGATATATCTGTTAATATCTTGCTTACTCTGTAACTTCAAGTTGGTCAGCCACTTCTACAGAACCTAATCTGTAATAAACCTCGTGAAGCAATTTATAGCCTTGTCCTCCGCTTCCTCTGCCATCGATCTGTGCGACAATAACGTTCCTCCGACTAGCCAAATATGTGTTCCAGTCCACTTTAAACATCTCGGTGACTAATTGTGAACCAGGAGCACCATACCTGCAAAAATAAATACCGTGGTATATAGACAAATGATCGAGTTTTAAATATTTCTTTCAATGAGCAATTAAGTAGGGGAGACCGAGGCACCATGAGCCACAAAAATTCAAACTCTGAAAAATACTTTTAAATATAAAATTTTTTGTCTCATTTTTTAAAATAATTAAAGCACTATATATTTTAAAATTTATTTAGCGTATTTAGCAAATATTGACTAGTTTTTAAGAAACAAATTAAAACACATTTTTTGAGAAATGACCCAAAGTGTTTCAAACCCGGGGCACCATGGGTCTGTCACTGGGGCATTATGGGTCACACACAAAAACTAGATTTATTCATTCAAGAAGTAACGAAATGTTACAAAAGTTGAAAATATATTTTATTTTATACATTTTTTATCACACTGTTCAGGATTTTACAGGACAGACAAGATATCCGAACTACCCACTATTGAAATATTATTTTCTGGGAGAAAAACTTATTTTTGACATGTTTTCTTTGATCAAAAATAACATTTTACAAACAAAAGACATAAATGTTCTTTTTTTACAAACAAAACAAATGTTCATACTCTCTTACAAATAAAAAACAAATGTTCATACTCTTTTAAAAACAAAAAACATAAACATTTATCAGCCCCGTGTAAAGGGGGGGGGACGAAAAGAGCCTAGGCCCCGGGCGCCGGTGTCAGGAGGGCGCCAAAAGCCAACAAGTACTTAACTAAAGTAAAAAAATAAAAATATACATTATTTTTGTTTTTTTCGTAAGATTACATGTAATTTGCACATGCGCCAAATAAGGATACAAATTCGCACACGATCGATTTTTGTCGCGCGACAGAGTCGCGTTTGCTCGGACACGATTTTAGATACTGACTCGTAGTGCGTACTGCTCTATGGCTGCGGGCAGAATGAATGTTTTCAGCCGTCGCGATCTCCCCCGCCGTCACCGTTCCGCCGAGAAAGTTCCCTTATATTGGTCGCTTCGATTGGTGAGACGCGGATGAGTGGTGACCGCGGTGGCGACGGCGTCCGCACCATGGTGGAAGTAATAAGGTGTGCTATCTTCTCGGACGAATTTTCGTCACATTCTGCGCAGCACCAAGTTTCCGCCATCTTGCAAAATCACTATAGCCAACCGATAGCAACGCGACGATAAAAGTAAACGAAAGTGTCACGGTATACACAGGTTATACACAGTTTTGTAGCAATTTTATGATTTTGGTGAATGTAATATAAAAAATCTTTTATAATGCCGTCGTGTTCTTTTAAAAACTGTAAAAATACGTCGCGAAATAAAAAAAATGTAAGATATTTTTCATTTCCAAAAAATCAAGAAATGATTGCGAAATGGAAAATACTTTGCAAAGAAAACGTCAACCCAAACAACGGTATGTACATACATATAATACTAATAGGTGATAAATAGAATTTAACAAATTAAAAATTATAAAATATAATAAAATTGATAAAATACATTATTTAAAATTTGTTTATCTAGCTCGGGTTTGTTCCCAACATTTCCATTCTTCACAATATAAAGATCGATCGTGGCTACTTGGGCTACTACCTAACTATAGCCCTGTGAAATCTCGGACATTGAAACTTGATGCAATTCCAATGGAATTTGTAGAGGACAATGCAACAGCTGTGGTGGAGAAGGATTTGAGTATGTATATTGTTTGAAATCAACGTATAAATAGAGAGAGAGAGATTGTATAAGTGCGGCCATCTGTGGCGTTCGTATTGCGGTAGGTCGGCACGCGCGAATATGTATGCGCGAAATAGGTCCGACCGCGTAGTAATCCAGGCGTTCGAGAACGGCCAAGCGCGGGTTTCTTGCGCGCTTGCGTAAGGATATCGGGAGGGGCGCGCAGCCCGGGCGAGCGAGCATTCGTTACCCAGATCTCGTGCACGATATATCGTGCATTGTAGCTAAGTTCGATATATAATTGCGTCATCCTTTGAGTATCGAGTCGTTAAGTTGTGATCTGCCTATCCGTGTGTCGTAGTAAATTAATTACTTCGAATATCTCAATCAACGAAAGATACGTTAAATTGCGATCGTCACCGAGAGGAATCCAGGGATATCCGTCCAGGCAAGCCATGCCGGCACGTAGAACGAAGGAAGGCAGCCATTTGCTGCAACGTGCGAGAGAGCCTTTTCGACAGGAATCACGAGCCCTTTTGAAGTCTTGGATATACGAGAGAGATAAGGATTGAGCCTTTTTAATATATTCATTGTGTGAACATCCTAGGTGATGTTATCGTCAATCAAAAGGTAACCTGTTTAAATATACTCGAGTGGAAACGTTAGACTTTCGTCTACCGTTACAGAGAGGGAACGTTAGACCTTCGTCTACCGTTACAAGAGAAATAATCAATCCTCTCAGAGATCACGAGAGCAAGTGAGAGGAAAACTTCCTCGCCTTTTGAAAAGATATTAAAGTTCATTTCGAGTCAAATTATAATACTGAGCTCAGTCTAAAGTAAAGTAAATTATTAATCGTTCGGTTGCAACCATTTTCATGACAAGTAAAAAAACTTTATTTCTTTCTTTTGTGCGTCTATTTCATTATAATTGATTATACAATATTTCTTATTGTTTATTACGTTACTTTGCGAACATTCTTTACATTCACTTGTAATACGTATTCAATGAAAATGCGTTCCTTGCGAAATATATAAATCGTCTCTTGCGTGATTATAAAACTACCGAGTATTCGTTTCCGTGCGTTGCTATAAAAGTTATTTCTCATTGACTTGATAATTATTCTACTAAGTATTTTGCGAATTCTGAATTATTGAATGTTATGTTCATACTAAAGTGAATTAATGTGTCAATCGAAAACCTAAGGCCTAAGAATATGAGAAATTGAGAAATTCTTATACTTTATTTTCTTTTACTGAATACATGATTTTGCTGAAAATGAGTTATTCGTTCAAGAACAAACTGTCTATATATATGGTAAATCGTAAAAGGCCAATGAAATTAATTATTATTAAGAATTCAAAGATTGATACATTATTTCAGTTACTATTTCAATGATGTTTGAAGTGAATTTTATATTCTGATTGATTTGCTTTACTAATTGAACAGTCCTTTCTTGATATTACGTGATCTGTTTTATTTTGACTACGTCAATAGAAATTATGAGCTTACATACTATAAATATTTCCTTGATGATGAATCTGATTACATAACAAAGAAATGCATCAGTGAATGCAATTTTATTTTGTCATAAATAAAAGGAAAGGACTGTACTATAATAACTATTGATTTGTTTCTTTTATGTGTTTTATACATTTATTGTATTTCTATTGTATTTCTATTGTATTTTATATAATCTATGTAATAATTTTGTTCAAGAATACTGGGAAGGTTTTAGGGCAGTTTCCCTTCTCCTATGCAACAAATGTTGGTATTCTTTGTATAGGTCTGCCCAATCTAGCCATTTCAAATTACATAAATTACTAAACGCAATCTCTTTCTCAATAAACGGATTCTTTATTATTTGTTCCTTCCTCATCTAATTCTAGAGTTCAGGCTTGTGCGCAGGCTTGTGCAAACATATATAGACATTACTTCTATTTATATGAATAGATTTATGTTTTAAGTGATTATATATTAATAATGTATAAATAATACTCCTGTCTTCCATACGATATATTAAATATACTTTCAGGAACAGAAATAAGAGAATGTACACACGTTGCTACAGACTGTGTTGCATCGAGCTCTGAGAGTTCTGTGATATCGATGCTTGCAAATGAAGTCGCATTAAGCTTCACAAATGAAGAAGCATTATGCTCTGTGACTCAAGTTGCATCGAGCTCTGAGACTCGAGATACACCAAACTCTGCGAATCCAGTTGCATCATGCTCTACAAGTACAAGCAGTGATAACTTTAGTACGTCCTTGTATTATGATTTTTTGTTGGTTAGATTTCTATTACTTAACTAAATTTTTAGCAAAGTTTTATTTATTTATTTTTATATTTTCTTATCGTGAAGGTTCAATACAAGTTTCTTTCAATTAAGATGATATACAGAAATTGATACGGGAAAATACAGACTTGGTTCGCCAAAATGAAATTCTTCAAAATAAAGTTCTTCAATTGGATCAGATTAATAAACTGCATGAGAAAGAGATGAAGAATATTAATAAAGGACACGAGCAAGAGATGAAAAACAAATTGCAAGAGATGCTAAGTCCTTTTTTCACACCTGGACAAGTTAAACTCTTATTGAATCCCACGCAGAAGATAACCCGTTGGTCTTCAGAGGATATTGCAGCTGCAATATCATTGAGAAGCGTAAGCCCGAAAGCTTACAGATATTTGAGAAAAACCAAAAAGATTCCTCTTCCAGCACTGTCAACCCTCCGAAAGTGGGTACCATCATTCAACCTTGATGAAGGAATTCTTACTGACGTCTTGCTGATCATGAAATATAAAGGTGAAAACATGACAGAGTTCGAGAAGGCAACAGTGATCTGTTTTGACGAAATTCATTTGTCAAATCAAATGGCGATTGAAAGAAGGCAGGAGAGAGTTATTGGCCCTCATAAAAAATGCCAAATCGTTATATAGCTCGTGGTTTATTCAAAAAATGGAAACAGCCTGTATTCTACGATTTCGACCAAGATCTCACCAAAGAATTATTATTTAAAATAATTGTTCAATTGTATAACAGTGGCTATACTGTGTTCGGAATGACCTGTGATCTGGGACCATCAAATCAAAATTTAATAAAACAATTAAAAATTAATGTAATGGAAAATGAGGATGAAACATACTTTGAGCATCCGTGCGATGAAAATGTAAAGATCCACGTTTTTGCCGATGCTCCTCATTTAATGAAATTATTTCGAAATCATTTTTTGGATTCCGGATTACATGTAAATGGGCATTTTGTGACTTCGGCGGCCTTGGAAAGGTTACTTCAAATTAACAGTGGGGATTTGAAAATTGCATTCAAGCTGTCGCGTATTCATTT